CCTCCGGGCCCTTGGGGCCCTTTTTATACCGCCAAAAATTTGCTCAGGGTTGACGGTCTTTAATAATATCTCGGTGGCGTTGGTCATCGTTGTATTCTTATCGGAGCATCTGTACCTTGCAGATAAAGTGTGGCATCGACACGCGTCGTACATAAACAGCATTTGCCGACTGAATTGTTAGCTTCGTGTCGATCACCGTCGTTACCGATACGATCGTACGAAGGTAATCGAGAACCCTTCAATTGGCTCGCACTGCTCCGCAGACGAGCGACGCGGCCGGTCCGACGGCCACCGTCCGTCCTGCATACGTGGCAGCGACCGAACGCCAATCGGAAGCGCCGGCGAGCGATAGGCGTGGTTTGCGGCGCCTAGTACAGCTCGCTCCACGTCCGGCCGCCATAGTGCTTCGGGGAATCGAGTCGCGTGCGTGTGATTCCTTGCTCAGTCGCGCTCGCCGTCTCTCTCTTTCCTACTCCATCACTCTGGCCGTCTCGGTCTCGCCTACGCCGACACTCAGCCGTGCCGTCCGCAGCGAGGAGCACGTCGATCTACGACGATCATCATCCGACTATTCGCAGTGTCCGTCGTAGCATCGCGTCTTGGAATCTACGGAGACAAACACCCTCGGTAAGTGGTCGGCGTCGGCGCGCGTGCGAAACTCTCACCGGGGGAGAGACGAGAGCATGGTGGTAACGGCGTGCCGGTCGTACTGTAACACCGTTAAACGTGCCGACGCAACACCGAATTCGCCGGTCAATCCCCGTGATGTGTCGATGACCCGCGGCCCCATAATCCATATGCCGCTCCTCCGAGTCGGCCGCGATATCGCACAACTCCGATTCATTCCGCACGTTCACCGTGATTCCTCCTTGATTTCACCCCCGCTTTCGCTCGGCTTGCACACGTATACACGTCCGTTATCGTGGGATGCCCCACTAGGATTCCTCAAGGACAAATTTTCCAGTGTCCTCGCAACCGCTTTTTATTTTCCACTAAACAAATTTAACGTGAATATATATTAAGTTCTTGCGATTCCTAAATTTTTCTCCCGAAATCCCTTCCAGATAAATTTCTTATATTCCTCTTATTTATCATAGCTGAGCGGAAGAGCCGTTTTCCATAAATATGTAGATAGGATTCTTTATCAACCTAATGATTCATGTGGATTCTTAAAAAACTAGTGGTAGGTTCAAAGGGCAAACAACTATGTGTCCGAATTGACACTGATATGAAAATATTGTGAAAGTGAAAGAATTTTTTTTTACAATCTACATCTGTCACAACTAATGACTGATATTTCTAATTTATCTTCTATGACATACTGATACTTATTAATTCTCTTACAGGTAAAACAACCAAAAATGGATGTTCAGACGGGACTAGTATATGTTGGCATTGTTGTCCTCTCCGCTGCAGTCATCGCCTTTATTTCGATGTTTGGTATCAGAGAGAAATCTTACGAAGAAGCAATCGCCGAACAGAGGAAGCTTCCTGATGATTTGTTGTCAAGTATGTCAATTCGTGCGATATTGCCTGTAAAATAAATTTTTACTTTGATCTAGGATACAATCTGTAATATAATTATAATTTGATGATATATAAAATTATTTGATACAGAATATAAATTGGAGTATGTAAATAGAAAATAAATAAAATTTTGATATATATATATATAAGATAACTTATGAAATATTAAATGTGTTAAGAAAGATTTTTTTGTTATTCTGCTTACAGATAAAAAGGATAAAAATAAAGAAAAGAAGCACAAGAACAAAGCAGGAAAGAAGGTCAAAGAGAAGAAAGAAGAGAAAGATGATAAGGAGGACAAAGATGAAAGAGCCGATCATGTGCAATTTGAAGAAACTCCCCAAATATTGCCTTCTGAGCTTCCAGTACAGGTAAACTTATATTTATTGATTTATTTTTATTATTCATTAAAAAGACTACAATTATTCTATAAGAATTGGGTAAGTTATAGTAATGGATTGTAAACTCTTTGATTTAATATACAATAAAAGAGTATAGAACTTTTATTACTGGATAGATATATGTCTTTATTTATTGAACTGTTAGAGAATTAGAAAGTGAGTAGGAAAACAAGTGCTAATCGAGCACTCCAATAGATATATTTTCAATGGGCTCTTTCTATCGCAATTGTCTTCAATCTTCAAATATTCACAATATAGAAGGATGAGACAAAAGAAGAAAGCGATAACGCTTAGCAATTTTCTAACATGAAACGAAGCACGATCACGCTTCTGCACCTATATTCTGTATTTTTTAATGATGTGTTGGTACCGATACATTTATCGTTGCGCAACTTTTTTCGATTGAAAAAACTGCACAACGATAAATGAAACGATACCGATGCGTCGTTAAGAGCTATACAATATGGATTCTGGTCCTTCAATCGATTAATATTTACACGCTTTTCATATTATCACTCACACAAACATCATAATCATGATTGCTTGCCTTAAAATAAAAGTATGAGCTGTACATAAAGCTATCTTTGAAGTGTTTAAGATTTGAACGTCTTGTTTTCATGCATGAAATACAGTAACCTAGGTGACACACAATATGGCATCATTACATCTACCCAGCAAAGAAAAAGAGATTTATATAAACAGGAAACGTCCTATTTTTATTCTATTGTCATATAATTCATGAGGCATGAATACAGAATTGTTATAGTTATTATTTATTTTAACACCTTAACAGTTATTATTTCATGATGTATTCTACAATAATTTTTCTGGATACATAATAAAATAATTTATATTATAGTTATTAGTTGTATAAGTGCATACAATAATTAAATGAATTATAAGTAATTTTTAATTTTTATATATCGTACATTACTTAGAAAAATGTCATTTTTAAAAATCATTTTTAGTAGTCGTAAATTATAAGTTCTTTATTAGCATTATATAATAATGGGCATTGCAAATCAAATAACTTACCGTAAACAAATCCTTATATTGAACATATATTTCCAACGATAAATAAATAAATTTTGTTTCTCATTCATGATGATTTACCTGAGAACGTGAGAAGATTGTAAGCAGATTTATATTTTACACTTGATTGCAAAACTCGTAATTTGATAGAACTGTCAGTTCCAACGTTTCAGATACTCTGAAATCGCTTCTTGATTGTGTACTACTTTCATTTGTTAATTTTCTTTAATTATAATTTATAATTTTTGTTTTGTAAAATATCTTTGTAATAGAATTACTTTTTTATCTTATAGTATTATTCTAAATAAAAATTGGAATTTATTATACCTCAATTTTATATAATGTACAAATGATGTCTTGGTAAGTTAGAAAGATTAAATCTTTAATTAAGTAACAGGTTATATCAAATGTATGAGGAAAAAATTACTGGTTTTATAAATAAGAACATATCATTATTTGGAAAGAACTAACACAAGCGGACAGAGATATTAAACAAATATATTCTAATATATTAAGAATATGATTTTGATTGAAAAGTTGCTCCTTGATTATTTCTTGCATACATCCCATTGATAAGTAATTCTGCAAGTTCAAGATTATTTCCTAAAAATAACTTCATCATACATATGCAGCAGTATTTTAATGATACTGCTTCAGTCTTGACTACCTTATCACTTAGATTACAGGAGAACCAAACACAAAAAAATGTTACTAAGTGTAGAATTGAACATTTTCTATAAATCTCTTACTAATTTTAATCATGTATAAAAATAATATTAAAAAAAGTTTTTTCAATAAATTTCCAATTCATTTTAATCTTCATAAAAGAAATACTGCGAAAGAGAGGATATTAACTGCGATATAACAAACTTATAAATTCCAGGTTTATGTGCTCAACAAGAGGACAAAATAAATATAAGGTGAAAAGCGATTTAATGCTAACAAAATAATTTGTTATTAAATATTATATCGTTTTATAAAGATGTTAAGATAATTTGACGTTATTTAAATTACATTTTATTATATAAAATATCATGATATATAGTATGATTTATATATGTGCCCATTATTATATAATGTAAGATGGATTTTCGAGCATTCTGCTTGATATTTCTTAACACTGCCTTCTTGATCAAATATCATGGGAACATCATACATTTGCATTAAACTCTTAGGAGAATAACAAAGGCAATAAGAAGAAAGGAAAACTTGAAAAGATAAAACCCATCCTCGTAAATAAAGATGAGCCATCAGTCATTGTGACTGAATTAAACCCCTCGCAACCTCCCTTGGTAGAGGCTAACCATTTTGATGTTATTCATCCAAAGGATGACCTTGAACTCGTACGGAGTCAAAGTGTGAGTGATTGCCATTTGCCGAATGTTATATACTATTTGCATAGATATTTTTTGCACAGTCTTTCTATTTTTTATATTACATTAGAATATCAAGCAAGATTTTTCAAAATGTTGATTGAAATTTTTTTAAGATTGTTGCCATGTCTGCCATTATGCTGTAAACAAAATTAATTTCTTTCACTGCTTAATTTCTTTTATTTCTATTAATTGGGAAAATTACATGTGCATGAAAAAATACACATTTATTAAACATTCATCCAATGTATTCTCTACTAACAGCAATAATTAATTCATGAAATATTAACAAATGCACAAGTAAGGATTAGAATATTTAGGTAACATGATCTTTACATTGCTATAGATTTTAATTAATATGGATACTAGTATTTTATGTGAATTCTATATTTTTTATTTAATTATTTTCTTTGATTTAAACATAATACTATAATAATATTTCTATTAATAATATTATAATAATATTTCTATTATAATATTATATAATATGTCTGTCATATACATATGTGTATATGTATATATATAATAGAGAGAGAATCTTCAACAGATTACCCAAACTGAGACAGTGGAGAAAGTCAACAAATCACCAAAAGATACTCCAACTAAATCAAAGAAGAACAACAAGGATCCTGTAAAGAAAAAAGATGAAAATAAGGATGAGAAACAAGATACTGTTACTTATAATAATACATCTGCTAATAAAGAAGCTATGAAGGAAGCTTTGAGGGATGTAAAGGAGCAAAAGGAAATGCCAATTAAGGAAGTAAAGGAAGTTGTCAAGGAGGTAATTCAACAGTTACCAAACAAGGAACCCAAAAAGACGAAAAAAAAGAATGATATTTTATCTCAAATCGGTAAGTCATTGTTTGCATGAAGATAAATTTACTTATTCGTGCGCGCACATGATCCAATTCAATAATAAATTACAAGAACATGAATCTAATGTTTTAAGATGAATCAAATCTGTATGTGTTTCTTACAGAGAGCAAATCAATATTTCTCTCTCTAACCTATCGTGACATTCTATAACCTGCAATTTAATTGATTGGAAATACGACCTCATTTCTTTCTGTACTGTATCTTGCCACTTACTCTTTTTACAACTTGTGAGATTTAGTAGTGATATTTACACATGTTATATATTTTATTTTTTTAATATAACGTAAATATATTATGTTAGTGTTTAAATAAATTGATAAACTTCAGCACAGTTATATGATTGTAATTACCATATACACAAGAAAATTGTGTTAGATGATAATATAAAATGTTTATATATAATACGCTTTTTTTCTAAAAATAAATTATTTTATAATATAAGTTTAAATATCTAATAAAATCTGTAAATTATGTGAAATATCTGACTAAAGCAAGTCAAGCAAATTCCTTTGAAGTGCTTTGGAATGTGGTTGAGGTAGAATCACTTCCCCCTCTACACACATACAAAGGTCAATGTCCATGCACTTATACTGGTAGCCCTGCAATATAAGCAGTAATTTCAAATATTTATTGTATTTCTGAAACAATTGTAATAATCTTTACAGATTATTTTAATTAAAGCAGATATAATTATACAAATTATAATAAAATGTGTATGTACATGTTTTATATTAATTAATATTTTAATAAATTATCGACTTTATAAATTTTAATATATAGCATATATATATATATATAGGGTTTTCGCAAAATATATACAAATTTATTATAAAAATTTCAATATTTAATTTTAATACTTGATATTTTCAACATAAAATTTTTTTAGATGGAGATGCTGTTAATGTTGAACTATTGATGCTATGTATTCAAAAGGCAGAACTTAGTCGATCTGAAATACAAGTCCTCACAAATCAACTCTTGAATAAACAGCAGGACAATCCGTTAGAACATTCTGAATGGACAGAAGGTCGTGCCGACCCCGTTATTAAGTTGAAAAAACAATTGGCGGAAAAAGAGAAAGCACTGACTGATGAACACGAAGCGAGCGTGGCCTTCCAAAACAAGCTAAAGGAATTGCGAGCCGAATTTAATACGGAGAGATCTAGACTATTAGCAACTACTAGACAACTTGAGGAATCTTTGAATGCGAAAAT